GGCGACCCCGCCCTAGTAACCCGCAAGAAGGATGCAGAACAGGGAGTGAGCTCAGAATTTCAGATCTCTGCCGACGGATTGATTCGTTTCAGGGACAGAGTGTGTGTCCCAGACGACAGTGAGTTAAAAAGAGACATCATGACAGAGTCCCATAGTTCAAGGTTCACCATGCATCCAGGAAGTACGAAAATGTACCAAACTATGCGACCTCGGTTCTGGTGGAATGGGATGAAGAGAGATATAGCCGACTTTGTATCTAAGTGCTTGGTATGTCAGCAGGTCAAAGCAGAACATCAACGCCCGGGCGGGTTACTTCAGCCTTTACCGATTCCAGAGTGGAAGTGGGAACACATCACCATGGACTTCGTATCGGGACTACCCAAGGCACGATCGGGACATGATGCTATATGGGTAATTGTTGACCGACTCACTAAGTCTTCCCACATCCTGGCCATCAGGATGACTGATCCTTTGGACAAGTTGGTAAGAATGTATATCTGGGAGATAGTCAGACTGCATGGAGTTCTAGTGACAGTGGTATCCGACAGGGATCCCAGATTCACTTCTCGGTTTTGGAATAGTTTTCAGCAAGCTATGGGAACAAAGCTGTCTCTTAGTACTGCCTTCCATCCCCAAACCGATGGACAATCAGAGAGGACAATTTGTACGCTGGAGGATATGCTCCGAGCTTGTGTCCTTGACTCCGGGGGCCATTGGGACGACCACCTACCCCTGATAGAGTTTGCTTACAACAACAGTTACCAAGTAAGCATCGGCATGGCCCCATACGAGGCGCTATACGGGCGTCCGTGCAGGTCACCAATTTGTTGGGAGGAAATGGGCGATAGAAGATTGTTTGGCCCGGATTTGGTAGAAGAAACCACGTCCAAGATAGTTAAGATCAAGAAGAACATCCAGACAGCTCAGAGTAGGCAGAAGAGTTATGCTGATACCCGGATGAGAGACCTGGCCTTTGAGAAAGGCGACTGGGTGTTTCTTAAAGTCACCCCCTTCAAGGGAATTAGTAGGTTCGGCAGGAGGGGAAAATTAAACCCCAGATATATTGGACCCTTTGAAATCTTAGACAAGATTGGTACCACTGCCTACAGACTTGCACTGCCTCCTGAGCTCTCCCGGGTTCATAATGTGTTTCACGTATCTATGCTACGTAAGTACAATCCGGACCCTTCTCATGTCTTGGCTCATGAACCGCTTTCACTCCGAGAGGACTTGTCTTATGAAGAAGTACCGGTCGGTATCACGGACCGAGAGAGCAGAATACTCCACAACCGAGAAATATCATTTGTAAAAGTCGTGTGGCAGAACCACACGCCCTGGGAGGCTACTTAGGAACTGGAATCAGAATTTAGGGCCCAATATCCCCATCTGTTCGATCAAGAGTAACGAGGCAAATTTGGGGACCAAATTTCTTTAGGGGGGAGAGTTGTAGCGCTCGGGAAATTGAAGA